CAAAATCCAAATAGCCAATAACTATATGAAGAAATGCTCACCATAGCTGGCATTAGAAAATGCAAATTATCACAACACTGAGTGAGGTTCTACCTTATCTGAGAAAAAATAGCTATCATCAAGAAATCAAACAATGGAAGACTGTAGAGGAAGAGAAGAAGTCACCAAGAAGCAAGCTCTCCCTGCAAATTGGCGCCATTTGCTGGCCACTGCAGGGAGAGGCAGATGTCAGTCCCTTCAGGCACATGGGTTGGGAAACAAGAAGAGCCAACCACCCCCCTCTACCCTCACCTTGCTGTAAGTGACCGGCTGATCCAGAGAAACACAGGTTGAGATGATGGCTATTGAGGTAAAATACAATTATTGCTTGTAGTGTTTAGTGTTTCACTGACTTTGCAGGTCTAAAGCCAGTGATCTGATCATCTATTCAGAGGATGGCAATACATAGTGTAGCATCTATGGAGGATCTCCTTTTGAGGATTGTGGCCATTGTTGATTCTCTATTGTCTTGTTTTGAAGTTCTATATCATCTTCACTGTTTTGTTGGGTTGTGTTTTGCTCTGTTTTGTTTGATTTCACTGTATCTGATGGCATGGCAGCTATTTCAAAGATAACAAGATGTATTATGGTAGCCATTTTTCTTTTACTATTATCTTGTTTTGAAGTCTTTTATTTTATTCATTGTTTTGTTTTAATGGGTTCTATTCTTTTCTGATTTGTTTGATTTTTACTATGTCTGAAAGTACCTGTAGCTATTTTGAATACACCAGAGGCATTATGGTAACCTTTGTTATTTCCTATTGTTTTGAAGTCCTGCGTCACACTAGTTTATTTTGATTCGCTTTGTTCTGTTTTATTTTGCTTGGCTTTATTCTTTTTAAAATAAAGATAAAAAAATCAAATAATAACAAATGCTTGTGAGGCTGTGGTAAAAAAGGAAACCTTCTACATTGTTGGTGGGAATGTCAAACAGTCCAACCATTATAGAAATTGTCTTAGTTACTTTTTACTCATCGCTGAGACAAAATACCTGAAGCCCTAAGTTGGGAAAGCAAAGGTTTATTTCTTACAGTTTTTGGAGGTTTCAGTCCACACTCAGTTGGCTCCCAGGCAGGCCGGCATGGCTGGACCACCGTTCATGGTGGCTGCAAACAGCAAACTCGAACCAGCAAAGAGAAAGACATACCTTCTTCCTGCCATTACATCATATCCTGGCTCCACCCTTATGTGGATGGAGCATTGACACCATCAATCCAAGCACTAGGCAATGAACCAATCACAAATACACAATGAAAACTCATGAGGCCTGGGGGACACAGACATAAACCATGACAGAAATCATCCACTTGACCTAGCCATTTCTCTTCTATGTATCTTTTATAAAGTGTTAAAGTCATGCCATTATAGCGACACAAGTATAATAGCTAAATCTTGGAAGTGGCCTATATGCCCGTCAACAGATGAGTGGATAAAGAAAATGTTGTATTTACATACAATGGAATACCACTGTGCCATAAAGAACAATAAACTTGATTTGGGGGGACATTCATGTACCTTGTGGCCAAATTGTTAATGTAAACTGAAATAATCCAGATATGCAACCTTAGATATTGCATGGTTTCTTTTATATGAGAAATTCAAAGTATACATAAAGAACAAAATAAAAGATAAATAATAGGATGTAAGGTGATAGATCTTTCTCAAAGGGGAAAGGAATCAAAAGATGCAGAAAAGGAGAGAGAGGGGAGTGAAAAGATGAAAAAAAGAATTAAGATGTGTTATGTACATGTACCAACTCTCCTCAAAGGATGTAAACATTATGTACCTAAAAACATGTACTAACAAGGAAAATAATCTGAAAAAAGGAAAACAAGGTAATACAATAAAAATATCCCTATCATAAAATGTTAAAATTTTATGATCATGTGTGGCTAATCACTAGCTGTCCAGGGCTGCATGCAGAAGTATGCTGTGGGCTAGGAATGTCTTCTTTATATGTAAAGATATAGTCAATTTTGTGTTAATTTTTCTGTAAGATAGGAGGCTTAGTTTGAGCTTCAGTTTCACTGCATATTGATATGCTTTTGCTCCAGCACCATTTGCTGAGGAGACTATTCTTTTTTCTTTAGACTGCCTTTGTAACTTTGTTAAAATTTATTTGGTTTTATGTATGAGGTTATTTGTAGTGTATTCTATAGTACTGTTCTAGGCATCTATACCTGTGTCTTGATTACAGACATAATATATTAATCTTTACTATTAAATAATATCTTCTAGTTTGCTTTGTCAAAATTATGTTGGCTTTTATAGTTCTGTTTTTTTGTAGTATACATTTTGAGTACATGATATTTACATTCATCATAGGGTATAGGAACATATACTTAACATACCTTGATTGCTTTTATTCCCCTTCCTTTCCTCATTCTCCTCCCTCCATCTTGATATCCCCTATAGTTACTTTTTATTTCCATATACCATTATTATAATGTTGTCTCTACCTACGAAAAATATCTTTGGTTATATATTGTTATGGATCACTGTAAATTTGTACATTAATTTGGCAGGAATCATCATCTTTACTCTGTTGAGTATTTCAATGAACACAATTTACCTAGATTTTTTTTTACATCTCTCATCAGTATTCTGTAGTTTTTAGCACATAAATTCTACAGATGTTTTGTTAGGCTTACATTTATGTATTTTTTTATTTTGGGTGATTGTTAAAATAGCACTGCATTTTATAATTCCATTTACATACATTCCTTAAAAATTATGTAGAGATACAATTGATTTGTGCATATTTATCTTGTTTCTTGTAATGCTGATAATCTTACATATTGATGAGATTTAGGGGAGTGTTTTATAGATTTCCTGCAATTTTTAATGTAGACAACTACATCATTAGCAAAAAGGGAAATTGTTCTTTATCATGCAAGTATCTTATTTTTCTATCAATTTTGAAAGACATTTTTTGCAAGGGAGATCAGTCTAGGTTGGAAGTTGTTTTCTTTCAGGGTTTGAAGCACTTCATTCCAAACTCTTTTTGACTTGATGGTCTGTGTTGATAAGTCTGCTGTGATTTTGATTGGTTTTCCTTTATAGGTGATCTGTCTCTTTTCTCTAATAGCTTTTAATATTCTGTCCTTGTGCTGAATTTCTGGGATCTTGATTACTATATGTCTGGGTGTAGATTTACTTTGGTTATGGCTAGTTGGAGTCCTATATGCCTCACTTATCTGCATGCCAGATCCACTTCCCATGTTTGGGAAGTTTTCTTCCATTACTTCTGTGAATATCCTTTTAATTTCATTTGTGTTGACCCTTGCTTCTTCACCAACACCTATCACTGTTAAATTATGCTTCTTTGTATCATCTTGCAGCCACTGAGTTATTTCCTGATACCATGCTGTTTTAAGGGATCTTTCCTTTCATGATAATTAGCTACAATCCTATCTTCAAGGTTTGAAAGTCTATCTTCAGTCTCTTTCAAGTGGTTTTGCCAGCATTCAATTGAATTTTTAATTTCCTGGATCTCTCTTTAAATCTGTTTCATGCATTATAATTCATTTTTATATTCATTTAAGTTTCCATCATTTTCCTATGCTTCTCTTTTTTGTCTATGTCTTCTTTAGACCTGCTGAACAATTCTTTCATTACATTTGCGATTTCTTTTACCTGAGACATGATTTCTGATTTAACTGCTTTTACAATCTCATGAAGTTGTTTCCTTACTTCATTTGCTATCCCCTCAGAGATTTCAGGTATGTGACTTCCATTTTCTTCCACGACTGTATCCCCCAGACATTCTGTGTGGTCTAGAGGTCTTACTTTGCCTTTTGCTCCTTCATCTTGACATTCTTCTGGGTTCCTCCCAACAAGCTGGTTGTGGGGTTCCAGGCACTTCCCACATTGGCTGCCCCTAGGCAGTGTAGAGGAATGGGATAGCCAACTACATTCCTCTAAATCTAGATTTACAGGGAGGTAGCAGAGAATGGGGTGGGCTTCTCCAGACATGTGTAGCTACACTGGGGCTTCCCTGATGATCAGGGGTGTATGCAAGTGGGACTGCTTCTCTCAGCCTGCGTACCTACAGTGTACTCCCATGATGGTGGCAGACACACAGGGGTGTGTTTGTCTGATCTTGTTAGTAGTTGATGGCTGCCCGAGGGAATCAAGGGCTTCCATTGGTGGCCTACAGATGCACAAGGCTTACCTCACTGTGTGTCCCTGCTCTTTGTTTGCTGCCTGCAGGAAGAAGCCTTCCAGTGGAAGCTTCCTGAAGGTGAAGTTAGATCTGATTATCTCTGCCCACACTGGCTGCATGCAGGGTGTGGTCTTTTGGTGGTGGTACATGGCAGGCAGATGTGGATCTGTCTGTGTCTCTTAGCTTGTTTACTGGGTGTGCAGAAGAAATGGCCTTCTGGGGGCAGCACCCTGCAGGCAGGCAGAGGCAGATCTTCTGGGTCTGTCTGCCTATACTGGGTGTGTGGAGGAAAGGGCCTTCTGCTGGTGACCCTCAGCAGGCAGAGGCAGATCTGCTAGCTCTCTCTGCCCACGCTGGTCACACAGTGGAAAGGCCCTTCTGGTGGTGGCAAACAGAAGGCAGAGGCGGATCTTCTGGCTCTCTCTGCCTGCACTGGGCACCCAGAGGAAAGGGCCTTCCGGTGGCAGTGCCTGGCAGGCAGAGTAGACCTACTGGCTCTCTCTGCCCACACTGGACACACAGAAGGCTATGGTATTTTTTACATAAATTTTTATCAAGTTAAGATATTTTTTCCCAATTCCTTCTTTGGATGTTGATTTTTTCAAACATTTTTTCTTCATAAATTATTATTATCATGTGGTTTTGCTTCTTCATATATATATATATATATATATATATATATATATATATATAAAACATACAATATATAATGTCTCACTGTGTCTCTTGCTTCCCCTGGCTCCCTTCAGTGCCCCCTCTCACCTGTGTGGAGTATGGGCAAGGGAAGGGGAAGGTGGGGGGGGCACTACAGTCCCCAGGAAACCCTACACGAGGGAAGGCAGAGGCTGGGAGGGACTCTGGGAAGCCATGGACATCCAGAGGCTGCAGAAGGTACTGAAAGATTTTGAGAAAAGTGGGGGGAAAGAAAGTTTGGCCTGTCCTGGATCAGTGTTTTGTCATGTAGCCAAGACTGAAGAAACAATGATTCAGTGGTCCCAATTGAAAGGCTGTTTTATAATCAAACTGGAGAAAGTGATAGATGATTTCAGAACTTTAACTCCCAAACCGACAGGTCCTTCAAATCCTAATGTAGAATATATTCCCTTTGATGAAATGAAGGAAAGAATACTGAAAATTTTCACTGGATTTAATAGTATCCCTTTTACTATTCAGCAACTTAGTGAATTGAGAACAGATCCAAGGAGAAACTATACAGAAATAGACAAGTTTCTCAGAGGAGCAGAAAAGAATGTGATGGTTATTAGCTGTGTGTATCCTTCTTCAGAGAAAAATAATTCCATATACTGAGAGTTCTAACACAAATGAGCCTGGAACACCCAGGGCACTTAATTGCCCAAAGATTTCTTTGTCAGCCCCCTTGAAAACAAATGGCTTGCATGAGAACACAGAGAGCAAAGAGTCAATCTTACAGCAAAATGAAGAGAAAAATCCTAGTGATCCTTCAGAATCTGAATCAGAATTTTCCTCCATGAGCCCTATAAAAAATAAATATCTAGGTGAAGACACTGTGGAATCTGAGGGGCATGAAGTAAAAAGCCTCAGATTTGACAAAGAAGGTGAAGTCAGAGAGACAGCCAGTTAGCCTCCAGTGAGATTTCTTCAGTTATGGAAAAAGAAAAAGAAGCATCATTGTTAACTCAGGATAAACACAAAGAAAGTAGCTGTACCAGGCAGCACTGTACAGAAAAAGATGAAAAAGATGATGATGGTGAAGAAGAATCTTGTATGACATCAAGAGACATGATCCCAGAAAGAAAAAATCAAGAAAAAGAATCTGATGATGACTTAACTGTGAATAAAGAGACTTCTGAGGAAAATAATCAGATGAAAGAATTAGATCTGTCTCAAGCTGAGAAATATTTACATTCTGAAAGTAGTGAAAATACAGGCCCTGTCAGTAGTTCAGACTGCCATGAAACAGAAGAATTAGCAGGCTCTAATTGCAGTAAAACTGGAGATGGTCTCTCAGAATCATCCATGGAAAATGATGAGGAAACCTCAGAAGTCACAGATGAACCAATGGAACAAGACTACTTAGAAACATTTAGATAAAGTATTTTACAAATGGTTCCGGTTTTACACTGTATAAAAAAACTTTTATGTCAATAAGGTTCATTATGATGCCCATTCTGGTTTGACTATTATCTTCTTTTAAAGTCCTGTAATGTCTCCACTGTTTTGGATTTGTTCTTTACTGTTTTGTTCAATTTTATTATAACTGATGATATAGGCAATTCTTTTTAAGATAGCAAGAGGCATTATGGTAACCATTGTTGATCACCTTGTATTTTGTTTTTACATTATATATTATGTCCATCCTTTTGATTTGACTGACTCTGTTTTGTTATGTCACATTTGGTTTTATTCTCTTCAAAAAAAAGTAGTAAAAAACTGTGGGAGTAATAAAATCCAAAATGTGTAATTGTCATTGTACAAAAGAGAGGAAAAGAAAGTGCTCTAAAGGATATAACTGCATGTATATTTAAGTATATAGGATAGATAAGTGTATAGGATAGATTACTGAGTTTTGTTGGATCACTGAACAGAACTGTTTGCAGTCTCACTGTTTGAATGTCCACTTTGTATGCTTTAATTTTGTAACTTGAACAACTATTTCTATGATGACAATATGTAATCTATTAACTAGTAATTTCCTACTGTTTATTTTTTCTGAAATTCTGTAAAACTTGTACCATTTTTCTGTTTTTTTTTCTTATTCTCCTTAAAAAAATTTAAAAAAAAACTTTTATGTAATAAAGTGGACCTTTAATTTTACAAGAGAAACAGGTTGAAAAATAAAGTACTTTAAGGATAAATCCTCTAAGAGTTGTTTATGTAAGAACTGTGATCTTCTGGGTCCTGCTTACTGCCAACTTTATTCTGAGGGGGTAGGGTGGCCTGGTCAATTAGTGGTTTGTGTATAGATTTTTTAAAAATTTAGAATTACAGTTTTTAAACTGGAAAATAATTATAATTTTGAAAATATTTTCAAGATTGTCACATTAGGTTTACATATATGCAAAAATAGTTTGTCTTGTCTGAAGATGTAACATGTGAGTCATGCTGGTTTCCAGATTTTTATTGTTTGACTATGTACAATGGAATATATATATATATATATATATATATATATATATATATATGTAATTCTAAGGGGGAAAGTTGTATTTTTCTGTTTCTATAAGGTAATGATTGAGTTCACTTCTTTCAGAAGACATTTTATTTCCCTTCTGAGTAATTTAAATAAAATCTAGCCCTTGTAGAACCCTGAACATCTTACATCTGTTGAAATACCAGGTTAAACACATTCCATGAAATCTGCTCAAACTAAAGTTCTTTTATATATTTCTGAGGTGCCTGAGGAAAAAAATAAAGACTTCATTATTTATGAGAAAATGTGCTATATCTTGGAAATTGTGTTCAAATCTTAGGTGACTATTTCATAGAGTGAATGCTTATGAAGCTGATTTGAGACCATCTCAGAAGAACTCAGCAAGTTCTTTAATCTTTGGTTTGCTTTTCTAAGCATTGTGAATAACACACATTTCTTTCTAAATTATCCTAGAGAATGAAAATGTCATGGTATGAAACACCACTGTCCTGGGAGAGTAAATATATTACTTCAGTAATGCTAAAATGACTGAGGCATTAGGGGTACATAGAAACCGCCATAGTTTATATGACATTTTGAAGTGAATAAAATATTTTTGGAAATGCTTCTTTGACACCCAGTGTTATATTTGTCAGATCAACACAAAGGAAAATTAGTCTAAATTCAATATTTTCAAATCCACATATTTAAAGTCATGCAAGCCACAAATTTCCTGTCAAAATTACTGGCTGCCAAATTTATACCTGTTTTTTCAGCTGTACCCTTTGATATGTAAAGTAGATTTTGTAGAATGTAATATGTTCACTACTTTTGTGAAGCAGTATATAATTATATAATTTTTATGTGTAAATTGAATGCTTGGGCTTTCAATAAAGTATACATATAAAGCAATAAAAATTAATGTTATGAAAAAATATAATATATAAATATATTTAATTGCTGAATTTTGTTTGGTATTATTTGGTTAAGAACTTTTCCACTTATATTTTTTTATTTTTTAATTGTTTATTGGTACAATTTATATATACATAATGTTCATATTCATCATATGGAATTTGTACCTGTATATGATATTTTTTGGTTCTTGTTTTTTCACAATCCCCTCCTATATTTTCAACCCCTCTCCCCTTCCCTATATACTTTTGTTGTGCTGTCTTTTTCTGGTTTTGATACCAGAGAAATGCTACTGTCATAAAATGAGTTAAGAAGTACTTCCTCCTATTGGTTTGGGGAAGAAATTGCATAGAATCGGTATTAACTTTTCTTTAAATATGTGGTAGGATTCTGCAGCATAACTATTCAATTCTGAAGATTTATTTTTCATATGGTAATTATGAATTCAATAGCCTTAAGTTATAGGGCTAATTAAATGGTCTATTTTATATTGGGTGAGTTTCAATAGCTCGAAATTTTTTTAAAAAGCTATTGAATCTAAATTGCCAAGTTTGCTTATACCGACTTGTTTACATTACTTGTTTATTATATTTTTGATGTAAATAGGATTAGCAGTGATACCTTGTTATACTCTTTTGTTCATAATTCATGGCCTGCTTTTTAATTTTTCAGTCTTACTAGAAGCTTTGTCAACTTTATTGATCTTTGAAGAGTGGTTCTTTGGAACTAGTTTTTTGATTGACTTAAATTTTTTTTTTTTTGCTTTTGATGCTAGCAATTTCCGACTTTATCTTTTATTATTCTTTCTTTCTTTCTTTCTTTCTTTCTTTCTTTCTTTCTTTCTTTCTGCATGCTTTGTGTTTATTTCACACCTTTTTACTAATTTCTGGAAGTGAGATTACAGATTATTGACTTCAAACTTACCCATTTTTCGAAAGCAAACATTCAATCTTATAAACTTCCCTCTCAGCAATGTCTTAGCTGTATCCTATAAATTCTGATTCTATTCATTTTCACTCAATTCAATATAATTTATTTTTTCAATAACTTACATCTTTACTCACAAATAATTGAGAAATGTACTTTTAATATTCAACTATTGGAGGATTTTCATATTGCCCTTCTGTTACTGGTATTTGCAACTCTATAAATGGCATATAACACATCAATAGAATCTAGGACAAAACTTACATGGTGATTTCAGTACATTTAGGAAAAGAATTTGATAGAATCCAACATTTCTTCACGATTTCCTTGTGATCAGAGAAAACACTGTGTGATTTCAATTATTTTAAATTTTTTGAGATTTGTTTTATGGATCTATATAATATATGTTGTGCTGGCAATTAAAAATATGTTCTACTGTTGTTAGATATACTATAAATTTCTATCAGATCCTACTGTTTTGGTACTCTTGAACTTCTCTAAATCCTTTATTATTTTCTATCTAATTTTTTTTTTACTTATTTAGAGATAAATGTTTAAGCCTCCAAGTATAACTGTATTTCTATTTCTCTTTCCAACTTGCCAATTTTTACATTATGTATTTTGAAATTTTATAATTTGGTGTGTAAAATTTAAGACTGCTGTATTTTCAGCATTTTTTTGGAATTCCATTTTAATTTATCTATAGTGCTTTAGGTAAATATCTTTATATACATCTTTAGCGGTTGCTTGAGAAATTACAAAGTTTTTCATAGGCTACTAGCATTAACATTTTATCTATCTGGGTAAACTACACAAACCTTACTTCCTTTAATGTTCTTTACTCTTCCTACTTTTAAAATACATTTGTATTAAAATATCTACTCTATATACCTAAGAAAATACGTGCTATAATTTTATTTAACCAGTAAATATTATAGATAAAACTCAACAAGGAATGTATTTCAAATAACTCATGATTTTGCTGCACTGCTAGTTATTTTTTTCTAGTATTTCAAAATTCCTGCTTTTATTGTGCCATTTCTGTTCAAGGAACTCCCTCTCCCCACTCCTTTAAGGTATAGCTGCTGCTAACAAACTCTCTTACCTTTCCGTTATTTGGGTTGCAGAATTTCTGTTCTATCTTCAAGTTCACTTATTATTTATTTTGTCTTCTCCATTCTGCTGCTGAGCTTATACAATGAATTTTTAAAACTCTCACTGATTGCATCATTCCATTATCTAATTTTCATTTGGTTTTCCTTTGTGTCTTTTATTACTTTGCTGAGATTTTTAAAAATATTTTCATTTATCTCAAACATGTTTAGCAGTAAAATATTTTTATGACATACTTTAAAATTTCTGTTAGATAATTACCCATCTGTGTCATCATGGTGTTGTTTCTTGGTGGTCTTTTCATATTCATATTGAGATCTGACTGATATTCTACTGAAGTCTACACATTTTGGGCATTATAAGAATGTAATCTTTAGTAAATCTTCCATTGTAGCTAATTTCCTCTGACACTGCCACCACAAGGGATGGAGAACACTGCCTCATGTACTGCCAGTATGGTTAGAAGTTCAGGTTTCGCCTTTGGCCACCACTGACATCTACAGAGAAAGAAAGGATATCCATTTACACCTAGGCAAGAGGAGTTCAGGCTCTTTACTAGGCCCTTGCTGACACCAAGGGCCTGACTGGAGGAGAAGGAATGTCAATACTGTTGACTGGAGGGAAAGATATGTCTCATTACTGTTCCAATGTGACTTCCATTATCACTCCACTATAGTAGCTCTGTTATTACTGAGTAGTGAAGAAAGTTCAAGCCTCTTCTGATACTACTCGCGTGTTAAACGAGTATGTGAATCCAGGCACTTTATTTGGCCTCTACTGACACCATAGGAGTAGTGGAGATTATCTCACTACTATCAGGTGGAGAGCAAAGTGCAGTTCTCCAGTTGGCCTTCTCTGATACAACCCCAGACAGGGGTTTTGCTGCCTTGGTAAAAAGTGGCAAAGGTAGGAGTCTAACCTTTGCATTTGGCCTTTGCTAGCAGGGATGAGGGAAGGGCTATAATTTTTTTATGTAGTGTTTGACTAGTGTACAGAGGTTATCTAA